AGCAATTACTAATGCATAATTCGAATTACAATCATAGACGACAGTTTAAAATATATTTGAAGTAAAATAATATTTGAAAATACCCAAATCAAAATGACAGTACACACAATAGACACAAAAGATCTCCATGGATGAAATATTATATGCTGTACGTACGATGGGATGATGTTGCTATTATTTATCTAGTTTTATTAATTAAAGACAAAATTCACATTTATACGGCCAGCATCTGAAACATGTCCATAAATATTGGTTGTAATGTTCCCTGGACTCATCAGATGAAAAACAAAAATTGATCGCCACGACAATACAACGACGGATACAAAAATAACAATACTGGAAAAATAAAGTATTGACTAATGGAGAATATGCAGTTAGTTATTGATACCTTTCTCGACGTCGTGTAACGCTTTCATGAGGAAAACATTGTCTAATGTGAAAAAGATTCCAGATTTCGTAGAAAAAAAAAAACTTCACACATGATTGTTTCTCAAAACCTCTCGAACATATGCCTGACAAGTAGAAAAAATTGCAAACACTCGTGTAATTAGAACTGAATAAAATTTAATTGTACGTTATTTTTTCAAGAACGAATTTGAAGAAATAAAAACGGAAACTATTTACTTGGTTCAATCGCCGTATTCTTCACAAAGATACCATTTTGCATATTTTTAACTTTGCAAATATTTCGTGAATATATGACATCTTATATAGCTCTGATTAATAATCCCAGTAGCTTGGCCATATAGATTTCATAAACTGAATTAACTATTATGGGTGATTAATCTTTCAAATTACTGGATAATATTTGACGTTCCGTTTTCATGTAATACAGATTCCGTCATGTTTGTGGCGTAGATTAAAACGAACTGCATCTTCTCCATTAGTCTATGTGGTAAATAGCAGTCCATAATGGGTTCCCTGGAATAGATAGGGAAACATTGTAAGGAGAAGAAGACTGTGGTTTCTCACGAAAAATGACTCTTTCCCCAAAATGCGAAGTAATTGAAAGAAAAATGGATAAAGCATATGTAGAGAGTCATAATATACTACGTTCTAATGTTTCATAGCATTTAAAACTAGTAGCCTGGAAAGTAGATATTCATTGACTCTAAGGCAGATCTGTAATGTAATCAATCCTGACCAGTCATCTCGACTAGAGTCAGTTTCTCAACGACTATGAGGCTTCTCTGTGTCGTTTCTACAAATATTTTCATGGCAACTGTACTGAAGAGCTTTTATCCCTGGTGTAAGATTTATCAATTTAAGCGTGCTACTAGATTGAAATCTAGGTCCAACTCTTTTGAAATTTAAATAGCTAAATGAAATCGTTAATTTTGCAACAACAGTTTTTCCCGCACATCTAATCCGTGGAGCTCCCTTCTGTTTACTTGCCTCTCTGATAACTATAATCTTTAAATATTTGAATGAAAAGTCAATCGCCAACTTCTATCTTCTTCAATCCTTTTAATCATTTTATCTTATTCATTCCTCTCAATTTCGGTCTTCTCTTAAGTTGATTCCATGTACTACACCTGCGAATTTGTGGTATTCCCACTTTGCGTGGTGTGAAATGAATTAAACATGCTTTACAAAATTTCATCAGGGAGATCTATTGCTTTCTCTCTGAATCATGATAATCTATTTCTCACATTATAATAATTGTTTGCCTGTATTTCTTGCAGTATATTGTGAGTAAAGATTTTGAAAACTCACTAAGTTTTCTGCAGGTTTGAAATTGGGCTCTGAAACGCATTTCTTATTTTGAAAATTTTTTGCAATGTATGCGTTTAACTTTATGCTTTCGCCTTGGTATTTGTAATCTGTCAGTTCAATTTTAATATTTATTTTACTCATATTTCTCTTAATTTTATTTCCTTAAATCTCTTTAATTTTCTTGCAACAGACTTTTTTTCCTCTCGCTGCCAAATTTTATACATCCTTCTCCGTATCCGCCACAATTCCCGCCTTAATTCCTATTTACCCGATTTCATAATTCCTCAGATTTAACTCCGTAACCTCATATTTCTAGAACAAACATTGGTTTTTGAATGCTATCTCCAACCCAATAGTTTCATAGGCTATCATTATTCACTTATAATTTCTCTTGTTCTATCTGCATCATTTGCGACTTTTCACGACATGGGCGTATTCTTCGATTTTTTACCGATATTGTTTCTCATCTGTCACTTGTGTTTGAAAAAATGCTCTATATTTAATTTTTTCTGCATTGTATTAAATAAAAAAAAAGTACATAGCAGGCGATAGCCAGTTTATAAAAATTGCTGATTTGTTCAGTTTTTAATAAAAATATTATTTTATTTTCAGGTATTAAAAAATGCGTGTCGATAAACATACGCTCCGAATAATCATTTAAAAATGTTGTTGTTGAAATGTTGTCTTATATATATATATATATATATATATATATATATATATATATATATATATATATATATATATATATATATATATATATATATATATATATATATATATATATATATATATATGCACACATATACAAAACACACATATATATATATATAATATATACACACTTATATACAAACTTATATATATATATATATATATATATATATATATATATATATATATATATATATATACATATACAGAAATATATAAATATATGTATACATATATGTATATATATATATATACCTGCATATATATACATAGTTACACACATATATATAAAATACATATATATACATATACATACACATACATATAAATATACATCGGTATACACACATATTTCTGCATATATACATATATATATATATATATACATATATATACACACATATATCTACATATATATATATATATATATATGCATATATATATATATATATATATATATATATATATATATAAACATATATATATATATATATGCCTATATAAATATGCATATACACAGACATACACATATATTTAAATGAAAATACATATATATATATATATATACATATATATATACAGATATACATATACATAAACATATATACACACATACATATATATATATATATATATATATACAGATATTCATATACATAAATATATATACATACATATACATAAACATATATACATACATATACAAATATAAATACATACACATGCATATATATATACATTCCCATATATATAGCTATATATATATATGTATATATTCATACATATACACATTTATATATATATATATATATATATATGCACACCTTATATACACATATATATACACATATATATATATGTATATATACATATACATATAAACGCATACATACATATATATATATATATATATATATATATATATATATATAAACACAAAAATATATGTTCACATATATATGCACATATATATATATACACATATATACTTATATATAAACACACATATATACACACATGTATACACATATGTATATACACACATATATATATATATATATATATATATATATATATATACATATATATATACCCATATATATACACACACATACATAAATATATATATATATAATCACATATATATCGATATATATATATACACAAATATATGCATATATATACATATATATATACACATTTATATGTATACACGTATATATGCACATATACATATATATATATATATATATATACATGCATGCATATATATATATAGATACATTCATATATACATACTTATATATGCATATATTTAGATGTATATATATACATACATATATACATATATATACATATATACAAATATAAATACATATATATATATACACATATATACACATATATACACATATGTATATATGAACATATACACATATACCCACATATATATATATATATACACACACATATATATATACATATATATATATATATATATATATATATATATATATATATATATATATATATATATATGCATGCATATATATATATATATATATATATATATATATATATAAATATATATATAAATATATATATTTGTGTGTGTGTTTCGATATATGTGAGTGCATGTTTGCATATAGTAATGAATTTATCTTGTCCTGTAAAATTGGCTTCTAGAAAAATATAATGATTTACTAACCCTGATAATTTTAATGCATTAAATATAAATGATATTCACAGGCCACATAGGTATGAGAATAAAAAGATCCGACAGTTTTTGACACATTTTAACATTTTAGATGTTACTGAGCATCAACCTCCTTCAGAGATATGTTTTTCTAATTGAATCAATGAAATTCCAAAGGGACAGACCCAATATGATTATTGGAAGTTGGGTCTTGTGGAAGCACCGTGAATCAATTGATCTTGTATGAAAGCGACATTGCATAACGTTGAAGAACGCCATTTCTTACTTTTTTTCTCTTTTTAGCTACATCGGTGTCTCATTCTTTCTTTGTATACTTTTTTTTTTTACAAAATCATCCATAATTTTTATACAGTGTTTTATATTTAAACAATGCAACTTCAATTTGTAAACAGTCTGTCAAACTGTTGTCATTGGCCCCCTGACAAAAGATTCCGTTAAAAGTCTTGCATTTCAAAATAACTTTGTGTTTTGTTAGCGACAAGAACATGTTTTTTAGTTACCTTTGTACAAAAACAACACTAAAAAATCCCAAATCAAAACGATTAAAAATTAGAAAACCTGAACTAAAAATATGCGCAAAGTTGTTTACAGACGTTTGCTTTTGCAAATGGTGAGTATCATAAAGAAGATGGTAATTTTTAGAAGATTAAGTTTAAAAGAAAACATGACATAAAATATCTCTCTCTATTCTCGTCAGGGAAAATGACAGTCGAATTCATTGTTCAGTTTCATATTTTGGGGGTAGGTTTATTCAATAAGAGAGAAATACAGAATTCATAGCTGAAGACTTTGTCCCTGGTCGGGAATAGACTGAAAATGTATTTATACGTATTATATTTTAACTCGATTTTCTATGTTTCCTTCTGGCAGATTTTCTTTTTACTTAATGCAGTACTTTTCGTTTTTTCTTCAGTTGACGATGTGTCGACTTCTTCCTTCTTTTCTTCAGGCTTACTTTTATAATTGGCTTTTCTTTCTGTTCATTTCATGCTGATTACAGGAAAGTAAATGTTAACTATCTTTTGAATGTTCTGTGAGGAATTTTGTCAATACGATGGGGGTAGTGATAAATTCACCGCTCAGCCCAGAAGGATTTAAATATAATAATGATGTTTGGTCATTTGTTATTTTGGGGAAATTGGAAGGACCATGCAACACTCAGCATTCTGTTTTATTTGTAAAGTAATCTTATTTTCGACTGATTTAATTCGATTTTCATCTCATTTTTGCAATATTTTCTCTCTTCATTGTCAATATATATATATATATATATATATATATATATATATAATGTGTGTGTGTGTGTGTATATATATATATATATATATATAAAGATTGTATTCGGTTAAATGTAAAATAAAATTCATCGATGATAATGGTTAAAAGTATAGCTGAAAGCGTTTGTAAAACATTCTGGAAATGTTTATATAATTTGTTCTGAAAAGAAAAAAAAGAAGAAAAACGCATGATAAATTAAATAAAAACATCAACCGGAATAACTTGTCAATCGTTTTCAACGAAACTTGCATAAAAGAATGATTTCTGGCCAAATACCCAATATATATATATATATATATATATATATATATATATATATATATATATATATATATATATATATATAATAAAATCACCTCATATGTGGAATAACCTTATTTCGGCCAAAGAAAATATAATTCGTCAATCTTATGTAAGCCCGGTATAGACTGAGTTCAGTTAAACGAAAGGCAAAAAAAAAAAAGAAAGAAAAACAAAAAAAACTTGTTATTTTTTAAAAAAATATAAACTACTTACGCACGCATCATGCGACAGTTTTGGTTAGAGATACCATGTTTCTCAAGCACTCCCTTCCAGTTCTTAAAATCTTGGCCAACTCTGGCGTCAAAATCGTCAAGGATTATAACCTTCTTATCTTGCAGGGCGTCTCTTATTAGATCTGAGTAAAATTTACCTTTTTCCACAGGATCTGCTTGTAAAGTAGGGGAGTACATACTAATTATTGGGTTATATAGAAGATTATTCTTTGGGAGGCGCATAGAGAGGATCCGTTCAGAATAACCATATGGCATGTTTTCAAGTTTGGCGGAAATGGAATCCCTGATCATGAAACCCACGCCTAAAAGATGACTCTCTGCTACTGAATTGCCTGACAAGTATAGGGTATTTCCTGGGACATGTTCTTTTATATTATTTTGTTATCCCTCCCATTTTATTTTTTGTTGTTGTTTTTCCCACTTTTTTAAGTTTATCTTTTCTTTTTCTGTATTCCCTACTATTATTTCTGTGTCTAATATCTATCTTTCTTTTTCTATAAACCCTTCGCCCTTTATTTCTCTGTCTAATGTGTACCTTTTATTCTATATTCTCTCTCTCTTTATTTCTCTCTATCATGTCGATTTTTATATCCAATGTCGCCATTTTCTCTTTATTTCCCTTTTCAGTGGGTATTTTTTCTTTTTTTATATTCCCTTTCATCTTTATTTCTATGTCTGATGTATTTCTTTCTTTTTCTATATTGCCTGTTCTCTTTGTTTATGTATCTATTATCTATCTTTCTTTTTCTATATACACTTAACTCTTTATTTCTCTGGCTAATATGTACCTTTTATTCTATATTCCCTTCTCTCTTTATCTCTCTGTCTAACGTCTTTTTTCTATATTTCCTTCTCTCTTTATTTCTGTATCTAATGTCCATTTTTCTTTTTCTATATTCCCTTCTGTCTTTATTTCTCTGTCTAACGTCTTTTTTCTATATTTCCTTCTCTCTTTATTTTTGTATCTAATGTCCATTTTTCTTTTTCTATATTCCCTTCTCTCTTTATTTCTCTGTCGAACGTCTTTTTTCTATATTCCCTTCTCTCTTTATTTCTGTATCTAATGTCCATTTTTCTTTTTCTGTATTCCCTTCTCTCTATATATCCCAGTCTAATATTTAACATTCGTTCTTTATTTTTTATTCCTCCCTTTGTTTTTGTCTATTCATGTCTATATTTCTGAGATGTGAAATTGTAACTATTTTTACTATTTACAACGTTCGTACTGTTGTCCTCATGTTTATTGACATAATCACTAAATTTGGCAATAAAAATGAGGAAATATTAATCTGACTTCTTTATTTTTGTGTCTAGTGTTTATCTAAATTTTCTGTTTTATATTCTCTACTCTTTCATTCTTTCGTGTTTTCTTTCTTTCTATATTCAATCTTGTCTTTATTCTTTCTATCATATTATCCAATATTTTCCTTCTTTAATAAATATGGCTTTTGTTGTATGATTTTTTTTCAGCTTTTCTCCCAAATTTCCTTTTTATTTTCATAAATCTTTCGCGACCCTCCATTATCCATTTTATTAATATTCGTCACTTTGAAATTATTTTCCATCATTTTCCTGTAATAATTTTTATTGTTGGTTCAACGTCTTCTAATTTTCATATATATCCATTCCATTTCCCTCGTCTTTTCTTGAAAATCTGTATTTCGTCTTCATCTTAGCACTGTTGAAATGATAATCTTTAACAGATTATTGAAAAGACTCCATTGATGAAAATTGTTCGAAATTTAGTAACAAGATTCAAACGGATGAAAGTTATGAGAGAAATCCCAAATGATTGTTTTGTCGATGAAGAAAAAACAAAAATATAACTATACATTCGCCTAACTTTTCTTTTTTTCCGGTGAAAAAAATGAAATTTTACGATATATTTACATATTCTTCTATGTTTAGCAATAATGTTTCATTCTATCATTTTCTGAATATTTTAATGCATTCGTCTCCCAGTTCTCAGAGACGTTGCCTTAAAAGAAGCGTGAACGAGACGGGTCTAAACAGTTCATACACAATGTTCATTCAAAGGTTTTATTGGTTGATTTTATTTACAGACATACTCACCTGTATGGAGAAATCATTGGAGAAGCGGTTGAGGCGGAATGAACACTTCAGGGACTCTGCTTTGATTTGAAAAACATATGTAGCAATGAAAATATGCTATCATTTTTGTTGTGTTTGCTTTTTTGCCTGACACATTTCAAACAGTATATTTATTCAGCTGTCAACAGCAATCTGATGAAAAATAAATAAATGAGAATTAAAAATAAAATAAAATGAAATAAAATAAAGCTCTTATTAAAAATGTATAAATTAACAGCTAGCGGAAGATAATAGAATATTAATAAACGCAAACACTTTTCCAAGTTACAATTAAGAATAAAAATACGACACAATGAAATGGTTATTTGTATTTATTTAATGCAGTTTCCCTGGAGAGTTTTGGAAATGGAGAGAAAGGCCAGATTTTAGTGTTCATTGTTGCATCTTGACGTAAAGATCTCGCGAGAGATTTACGTCGATGTAAAACCAGTCTGACAAACGGGGAGAACATAATGTTACTGAAAACAAGGCGTTTACCAAGTACATGTGCATTGATACATTTAAGTTTCTTCGATCGCATATCTTACAAACAAGCTGTCCCAAAACACAATACATTTAAACGCACATATGTTTAAAATGCGCAGAACATATGTAAACGGTAATAATACAGAATACAATTAGATAATCTAAAAATGTATTCATGTATAATTAAACACAAATAATCCTCCATATATATATATATATATATATATATATATATATATATATATATATATATATATATATATATATATATATTAGTCATAAACAGACAGACTGTATCACATCTTCAAGTCGGGGACCGAATCCCAACAGATTTGGCATAAATCGAAGATTCTCACCCCTAACGAATATCGAATATTTGCGTATGTATTTAATAAATACGGGAGAGTTTTGCATTACAAGTAGTAACAGGAACTATTTCCCCACTGTGCTCGAACGAATATCGTCATCCACAGAGAGACTGTTTCACAACTCCTCAGTTTGCCTAGACATTCGATCGCTTCAAGCCGGGACCGAAACCCGACTCATTTGGTATCAGTCGGAGATGACACACACACATATATATGTGGGTGTGTGTGTTTGTCTGTGTCTGTGTCTCTGTGTGTGTCTGTATCTTCCTTTAAATTTGATTAATTGAATGATAAATAAAGAGAAAAACCAATATAATAGTTGAAAATTAATAAAATATTAACAGGAAATTAAGAGGAAAGTATTCGTGATCAGAGAGACTTTTTCAAGTCAATGTAGGATTTATTTTGCGGCGTGTCGTTATATACAGAATCTAGGATGTCATTTGTTTATCAAGACTTTTAAATTGAGAACGTTAATGAGTGTTCATATTCAGTATATATATATATATATATATATATATATATATATATATATATATATATATATATATATATATATATATATATATATATATAGCCGAGTGCTTCGAACATTCGTTTTCTGACCATGAGCCCCGGGTTCGAATTTAACCACGGCTGATTTGTCAGGATGTAGACTTCCTGTTGTTACTATTATTTTCGTTCCTCAGTGACCCCAGCGTACGGCACATCTGTGAAGGGCCTGAAATCTATACCGCGGGTTGACCCAAGCCTTGTCAATGAAATTGGGTAGATGGAAGAATTGGGGGCCGTCGATAGCTGTGCTAGCACAAAGTCACAAGTCAACGTGACCGAAGGTTTTATTGTGCTGGTCTTGTTCAGATTGTTGATCCCGCTATATAACACGGTCTCTCCCAGAAACTTTCACTAAGGTCTGCTCAGCATATTTGCAGTATAAATCACAGGTTGGCTGTGTGGGTGGTTAAGAAACAGAAATTTGCCTGAACACGCGTCTGCTCTAGGGATTGACTAGACGTCCTAATAAACGGGTATCCTCGAATGCGAGTGGATAGCTATTATATATAATTAATCTTGTTTAAATTGTGAGTAGATTGTTTTTGTTTAGGGAGAAAATATGTGTTGTACATATTAAACATATGAGTTGATGGATTTCACCGATTTTTTTTTGTTTTATTTTTCAATATATTTCTGGTCGCGTATGTTGGCTTGGGAAAGTAATATTTATTTCAGGAAAGGTGAGATTGGAATTAAAATTGGGCGTAGATTTATGTTTTGATCGCTGCACTCTAGAGAATATAAAGACGTACAATAAAATAAATCATAAAATACTTTGATAAAATACTAAGAGGACGAATATTGTCGGATAAAATAGTTTTTCTTGTCTTTTAGTTTCAAAGAATGGTTAAAGAACGTGCTAATCTTGCTAAGACTGATTGAAGGAATGATTGGCATCTCGTACAAGAGTAACATTCTAGAACGGCTTCAAGCACATCATATGAATCTGAAAGCTTGTGAAATATTCAATTGGAATTGATAAAAAATTTAATACCTCCGAAGACAATAATGCTTATTTGTATGCAGATATTGCAATAAGGAACATGAAATATGTGTCAGGGCTTTGGAAAATGGTGTTTTAATTGTAAAAAGAGTAATCAGTTCCAGACGGTATGCATTTAAGAAAGGCGAGAGGGAAAATTGGAAAACATAGATACTCCGATTGAAATAAGGAATATTTTGAGATAATTGCCCAATTTAAATGTAGGGAAATGGTGGAGTTGAACGGTGTAACTTTACTTATGCAGGTTGATACTGGAAATTATGTAACGTTGACAGCAATGATTGTTTTGAAAAGAATGTGTAGAAAAAATTGAAAGAAAAGTATTCTCCAGTTGAATCATTTTCATGTGTCAAACATAAAATTTTTAGGATGCTTTGAAATTAAGTTTAACTGAAAAAAAAAAAAATTCCAGATAATACGTATCATAGTGATGGAAAACTTCAAAAGGCCATGGTCTTTTAATAATTAACGTGTCAACAGTTGACTCATCGAAGCTGTGGAACTCCATTGTCTTTAGAATCCGCTGTTGGATTATTGAGGAAATACGGTTTAATGAAGTCAATCCATTCACTGGTATGAAATACTTTACTAAAGTTGACCTTAAGTCAGTATATAATCAGATAAAAATTGATAGCAAGTCACCACAATGAACACATCTATTAGTTTAATAAGATGAACTCGCCTCCCATTACGAGTAAAAACGTCTTGTTACATTTTTCAAAAATCCACCAAGAAGTTTTATAGGGGAATAAAAAATGTATTTCTATATCAGGATGATATTGACACTGGTGCCCGCAGTAAAGAAGATATCAAAAATAAAACGAAACAAATGTTGATAAAGTTAAATAACGATGATAATCGAGATAAATGCGAGCTTAATTGTGAAAATTTCTATAACTAGGATATCAAATATCCGAAACCGGTATATCGCCGAATGACAAACTCAAATCAGAGATATAAAAAAAATAGTTTGAATCCTTTTTAGGATTAACCAATTTCTATAACAAATATCTTCTGCTATATCGTAACCATGTGGAAACATTTAACGAAATAAGAAAGAAGATTAACCAGTTTCAATGGATAATAGACAGGAGGTTGCTTTAGAGAAATTAAAAAATGCACTCATGAAAAAACACGTAGTCAAAATACTCGACCCAGCGAAAGAATTGATGTTAATTACTGATGCCAGTGACTGTCATTTAGCCTAAATAATATCACAGGAGAATCACCCTGTAATGTATTTATCCAGAAAACTAACATCGGCGGAGGTGAATTAGTCAAATATTGAGAAGGAGGCATTGGTGACTGTATGGAGGACGGAAAGAGCTATACATACATATATATATATATATATATATATATATATATATATATATATATATATATATATATTTCCGGGAAGGAAATATCTATAATAATCTGATCATAAAACCTTGGAAATTTTATTGAATCAAATTCACAACCAA